TTATGACTTATTTACACGTTTTGTAGGGGATTTTAGTCGGCAGGAGATTTACTTTATGAAACTTTTTCTCTAGTTGTTGGTTTACTGTTATACTCTAGTTGTTGGTTTACTGTTATAAAAGCAACATTTGAATGGAAACGAAAACGACTACGGTAATTTCCTCGCACGCGATCAAATCTCGTACTCGTAGTCGTAGTCGTACTCGTAGTCAAATCTAAAGCTCCCTATTATACACGGTCGAAGGACGAACGGTTACAAAAAAACATTTCTATTATATCGTGAAACGTTCATGGTCATGACGTGGTTTTAATCTGATTAGCCAACTATCTTTCGTTTTGCTGTAGATAGAGACATTGATCTTCAGGGCATTATCAAACGCTCTAGTGCTACCGTGGCCAAACCAACCTGACGATAAGCAAGTAAGTGATAGAGAAATTCTTTGATTGTGGGTCGAAAATCAAGATGGCTCTTACTGGAACTCTAGGGAGAACAATTGATAATTGATACAGCTTTCCTGTAGAAATAAAGTTAGCTTTGCTTTCACGATGTTTTCTATTTTTCAGGATTGGCCATCTCGAAGCAACAATCACGACAACTTAATAAAAGCTCTGACTATAAACTACCAACAAATGGCAGAACATACGAACGTCGAAAAACGTTTTCATGCAGAAGGTATGCTTGTCTGTGCATTATAGATCTTATTAAGCTCAGTTGATGGACGAACCGTGTTCTTTTAAAGCTTGTCTGTTAGCTTCTGTTTGCTGGCTGTTTATTTCATGAAACTACCGCCAATTATTGTATTTTATTTTCTAGCCAAATGCTTCATCGGACGAACGTTATGGCTTTTGAAAGATCTCATTGAAGCCGTTTCAGGCGAGGCAACAAAATCCAAAACAATCGTTTACAAATCCGTCCAGGAATCTTTACACACGACACTCGCCCTCTTTCCTGTATACATACACGAACCAGGTGGGAATCACTGAGCTCTCTATATCTATCTGGAGTGAGAACTCGAGTGCAAAAAGTGAAACCAAAGATGAAGCTAGTCAGTTTCAGTCCCTTTTAGTTATTTTTGTCTACGCGGTCTGCAAGGAGTGTGCCGAAATTTCGTATTTTACTTTGATTTAAAGAATAATACTATGGTTTTATGAACTGGTAACTTGATTAGCGGTCCGGTTCGTTAAAAAATACTGGAATTAGCTGGGAAATTGGTATTAGTGAGCTTATTAAGCAAGTGACGTTTTTGAAGTAACGTCAGAAGACTGGGTCAAGGGCTGTGATTGGTGAAAAACGTCAACTTTACTTCCGGTCGACGTCCGTGTTGTCAAAAACGTCACTTGCTTAAGCTCACTATTGAAACTGTTTACAACCTTCCTAGCTATAGGACGTCAATGTCCGCCATCTTGGCTTCACTTTTCTTTATAAATTATGTAGTTATCTTGTATTTAGAGGGAGTAAATAAAATAGAGCGATGTTGTTTAATTTGGTTGCTCCCACAAGTGAAACCGAACTATTTATATATATTTTTACTTTTCTATCTCCCCTTGCAGATGTGGTGGATTCTATACTAGGCTTTCTGCTGGCAGTATTTGGCGCTTTTCAACTACAGCTGGGAGTCGCGTACACGGAACAAATCATCCACAGATTGTTGGGAATGTTCACTCAAGAACAACTACAAGAAACGATCTCTCAAGAGATGTCAGCTGGCTCGCGAGTTCTAGAAAAGTTTCTACGAATTTTAAGACTTTTAGCTCAGCAAACTGGGTCCTCCTTCAAGACTTTGTTACCGAATATTATTAATTTTTGTTTGGATCAAATTCACCCTCTTATTGCAGAGGTAAGCTATGGTCTGTTTGTGTGCTTTAGTTTTTTGTTTCACTCCCCAGTCAAATGTGATAAGAGTACTGTCAGTCCGACTCTGGGTATTCTTGTTTCTTCCTGTAGTAAAACTGGATCAATAAGAATTGGTTCTTCTAGGAAGAACATTTAGAAGTGATAAAGCCATCCAGTATAAATAAAGTTAGTTTGGTGCAACAACATGCGATATACAAAGTTTCTGACCTTTTTTTCTTAGCGTTCTGCACCGGACATCAAGACAGAATTCTTTGAACTACTTCATCAACTTCTCTTGAATAACTGGCGATATTTCTTCCGTCCAAACGTACAAACACGAGTAACCCATGGCGATGATGGTGCCTGTGAAAACCAAGGACAGTTTGTTAAAATGATGGAGGTTAGATATGAATTATAATCCTTGCTTTGCTAGTACAGGCCCTTACTGAACCTCTAGGAAGAACAGTTTAGAACTGCTAGAGCTACCCAGCAGAAATAAAGTTAGTTTAGTTTAGGTTTCGTCCTGTAGTAACACTGGACCGACAAGAGTTGCCGGCCCTTTTCTAGACCTCTAGGGAGAAGACTGGTTTAGAAAAGATAGAGTTATCCAGTATAAAGTTAGTTTAGTCATGTAAATATCTCCTTTCTAAGCTCAACGTTTTGCTGTTGTTTCCTTCACAGGCGTTCGGGCAGACTTTTACTCAAACAGATATAACTGTGTTTAAACAAAATCTACAGAGTCTGGAAGACTTGAACGCTAAACGCAAGCTTTACCAAAAGGTATTGGACAGTTGATATATTGGATTTAACGCGAGTTCACTGCCATCTAACGTATTTTAGAGCCAAAATAAATTTATAATCTTACGTTTTGTTTTCATTTAGCCAATCTTCAATGATGGGATGTTGTTTCACTTCTTGAATGTCTTACTACAAGTCTTGGTTCGTCGTTCTCACGACTTGCTACAAGAGGAGATCGCCATAGCGTTATACAACATGGCGTCCTCTGATTTTGATAAATTTTATCTTCGGTTTTTACCAGAATTCTTGACAGGCTGCGAGGGTCTGTACGCTGAGCAAAAAGCAGAATTGTCTAAGTCATTTAAAATGGATAAGGTGGGTTGTGGATTAAATGTTTTGAGTAGAATTTGAATGTGGCGAGTGTGGTATGATATGATAATGTATGGTGATGTGGTATAGTATGGTATGGTGTGGTATGGACTGGTATGGACTGATATGGTATGGAGTGGTATGGTATGGTATGGTATGCTGTGGTGTGACATATGGTATTGTATGGTATGGTATGGTATGGTATGGTGTGCTATGGTATGGTATGGTGTGCTATGGTATGGTATGGTACTATGGTATGGTATGGTGTGGTATGGTATGGTATGCTGTGACATGATATGGTATTGTATGGTATGGTGTGCTATGGTATGGTATGGTATGTTGTGGTGTGGACAGTGGTATGGTGTTGTTATGGTATTGTTTGGTGTGTTATGAATTAATATATTTTTCTGTTTTAGGACTTGCCATCATTCACTCGTGGAGTTCATCGTTTCGTTAGCGACGTTCGATATTATAGATTATACAACAGTAGTCTACCATCTGGAACTGTGACATTTTAAATTATATATAACGAAGACATTGTGATACAATCTTAGTCACAATTGTTAAATTGAAAATGGTTATCATTTTATTTATCTAGTTTTATATGAATTATTCAAATGTAAAAAATAAAGTTTTTATCAAATTCAATGTTTTGATTTTGAGTGAATTTCCAAATTTAATTATATCCAAATTCTATCCCTAATCCAAATATTACAATCGAAATCCCACCAAAATTCTCTATGTAGTAATCTCCCCCGGGAAGAAAGTAATCGACGAACAGAAATGCCCCCCCATGTTCACCGAATCCAGAAGGCCTGGGAACTAGAGTGGTGTGTCCGGTCAACAACAATCTCGTTCCCCGAGCCTGCGATCCTTGGGAAGGAAACGAAAGGATCGCAGGCTCGGGGAACGAGAGTCAACAATTGTCAACAATAGTTTGCTTACATGAAGTAGTTCGCTTTCCAATGTCAACACATTCAAAGCTTCGAAATTAGAAAGTACAAATTTTGTACCAAAAAATGTCTTGATTTTGTTGAAATCTTTTGTAAAGTTTAAAAAATGAGTGGACGGGATGATACTGGTGAACAAGTGATCCTAGCTACGGCAGGATATGATCATAGCATTAGATTTTGGCAAGCTCACAATGGAGTATGTCATAGGACCGTGCCACACACTGATTCTATATCCTTTTCAATATGAAACTGTACTATTATAGAATCTGATCAAGGTTTACGATATATTTATGATGATTATATATTTTTAAGTAGACTTCAAATAAGTGAAGTACTTTCCTATGATCATTAGTGTAGTATGGTAAGGTGTTATGGTATGGTATGGATCAGTGTGGTATGGTGTAGTATCAGGGCTGCAAATTACTGTCGGACATCGGACAATGTCCGACTAAATTTGGCAAATGTCCGAGCAAAAGTAATTTTGATCGGACATTGGTCCGATCACAAAAAAAATTGTCACATACATTTTTTTGCTGTGACAAAATCCGATTGCAAATTCACTGAATTTGCATTTTGCAATAAAATTTACAAGGCATTCTAGCATTTTACTTAACGTTGCACCAGAATGGCTATACATACTTGTCTCGTGACTTATATTATATCTTGTGACATATACATATATATGTCCGATCAAATGTAGCAATGTTGGTTTTTGTCCGACCAAATTCAAGTTATGTCCGACCAAAATTAAAAGTGATTGGACAAATGTCCTGTCAAGTCAAATATTTATTTGCAGCCCTGTTATATGGTGTTTTTGTGGTACAGTGACCTATGGCATAGTGTGGTGTACAGTCATTAAAATGAATATGACTGGGATGCTACCTTCAAATAAACTGCCTATCTTTTTCCTGAAGCCAAATCTGAGATCTGACCCATAGACATGCATATATCTGGGGGTCAAGACATCATGGTTAACTGATTGACAGTGCTCTTCGCATGTGTGAAAAGACTGGGACTAGCCTTCAAGTTTGGCCTCAAATTTCCGGTAGCATTCCAGTTCTATTCATTTCATTGGGTATAGTGTACTATGATATGATTTGTGGTTTTCTGGAGGTTTTATACAGCCACAAGCATTAAAGGCTTGGACTGCACTTTCCAATTAATTTGCCGTTGACATACCTTAACGATAATTCACCAAGTTAACAACATGGCAATCACCCCCGACAGACATTTATTAGCCGCAGCAGGTAATATGTACATGCTTCTGACATCCGTAAATTGACTTTTCCTATAAAATTTTGTGATAATTATAAACTATGCTTTATTTTACACAGGATATCAACATATTAAAATGTATGACATTAAATCAAATAATGCAAACCCTGTAAGTACCTTTCAAAATGATATATTAAATTAATTGGGCTACTGCAATTTACAGGTAGGGTTAAATCAGCTATTTGTGAAACCCAATTAACATCTGCACAAACAGCAAAACAACCATATAAAATTTTAAAATTGCTCAATTTAAGATTGTAAATTATGATGGCATATCAAAGAACATCACATCAGTGGGTTTTCACGAGGACGGAAAATGGATGTTCACAGGTGGTGAGGATAGCTCGGCAAGGATCTGGGATCTCCGGTCAAGAAACTTGCAATGTCAGCGTGTTTATCAAGTGAAAGCTGCCGTGAACTGTGTCATTCTCCACCCAAATCAGGTAAGACCTTCAGTTACATTCACAAAACTTTGAATAGGGATGATGGTAGGCCATCTAACATAGGAGTCTGGCAATGACATCATCCCTTTGGTATATAATGTTGGCTTATCCCACATGAAGACACTAGACTGAGTGTTGAAATGTTGGGTAAATAATACAACTTGCTAGAGATTACATTCATCTACTTATTAATTAGCAAGAGAAATGCAACATATCTGATCTAATGTCTTCTTGCAGCTAATTTTTTCATTTTGTAATTATTTTCTAAGACAATTCTTATTTTAGAGTGAGCTTATTGTTGGTGACCACAGCGGGGCGATACATGTCTGGGATTTAAGGACAGATCGTAATGAACAACTAGTAAGTCTTTCCTTTTCTATTTTCATCATTTTATAGCTATCCTGTTGACCTTTCTGACTATTGCTTTCTGCTGCTCTCAATATTTCATTATATTCTGGTTATTTCTTGGAAATTCCAGTAGCTTCCTCAGTTCAATTGGTTCAAGTCTTTGCTGGTCATCTTCTCTTCTTTTACCATGTAATGGTTTCCAAAGAATAAGCTGACTGAGAACTTTTTATTGCTTCTTATATAGTATCACTATTAAAAGTCTAAACTTACTCCTTTCTTTATATTTCTTCAGATTCCTGAAGCAGAGGCAGCTGTACTATCGTTAAGTATTAACCAAGATGCAACGTACATGGCAGCCATTAATAACCAGGTGATTAGTCTCCCACTACGCTCGTGTTCCAAGATCCGCCATGTAAAGTGTAGTGAAATGTATCTCATCGTAATATTAAATCCTAAAAAAACTAAAGCCTCTGCGGAGGAGAGAGAGTCTCCCACATGTTTCCAACCAAAAAGTATGGAGTGTATTTGCAAAAGAGTAACATTGTGATTCTCTTCTTGTTCATGATGTACTACAGGGAAACTGTTACATTTGGAGCTTATCGTCAGGTACGACGACTGAACCGACAGTTTTAAGACCAAGAACGAAGTTGATGAAAGCTCATGAAAAAGCTGGTTTGAAATGTCTCTTCAGTCCAGACTCTTGGTAAGAGAATAGCACGTTTGTTATAGGGTTTAGAAGGTAATGGTTTAAGTAGGCAGTGAGCTTGCAGCTGAGAACTGGATTAATTGTAATGGACACAGCTCAAACGTGAATTGAAATCTTACTAGGGCATCTCAGAGTACCACCATACCGCCCACGTCTGATCACATGGGTATGGCAAGGGTTAGATTTTGGCAAGGGAGAAAAACTGGAGTATACCCAGAAAAAAACCTCGAAGCACAGAAGAGAACCAATTCTAACTTTCTACCTTTGCTCTACAGGGATTTGAGGAGTGTTTTGATTCTATCACAGAATCGTCCTCAGATTTTAAAAAAATATTTTCATATTAATTCTAACACTGCAGAGGCAACGAAAAACTCGTTTCCAGCGTGATTCAAACTCGTACCTCACAGCTCTACCCATTAACAATCAAGTCAACGTGGAATTAAGCGATCTTATCCGATTTTAATATCCATCATTCTTCTCAGTTTATTAGCAACCACCTCAGCAGATCAAAGTATAAAGATATGGCAGACAAGCGACTTTACATTAAAATCGACATTAAAAGAAGAACCACAACAACGTTGGGTATGGGATTGTGCTTTCTCTGAAGACTCACAATATCTTGTCGCAGGTAAGGAATGAAGTCGACGTGAAATGGCATGAAGTATTCCGTACATGTTGTTTGCAGGTACAAGTGTTGTCTTCGAGAGTAGGAAATGTTATTAATTCCATAGTTTTAAGTGGAATAGGAAGTCAGAAAATGCAGATATAATATCATCAACTTGAGAGATGACACGAGGAGGTATAAAGAAAGTATATTGAGTGTAGGGTTTTAAGTATCCGCATTTGTCTTTTCAAAAGAGAATTCTGTTGGACGCCTTCAAGGACTTCCTCGGGGTATTGCCTTGTTGTCAAATCCCTACAGAAATTGTAATTCTTCCCAACTTAACTAACCATCAGAGAATCGTCCTCAAAGATATGAAAGCTGTCTTCTTTGCAATTGTTTTGCAGTGTCTTCAGAGGGCATCGCTCGACTCTGGAGTTTGGAACAGGAGAAAGTAGTCCGCAAATATCAAGGACATCAGAAGGCGCTCGTATCTCTTGCTTTCCGAGACGTACAAGTCTAATTCTAGGAATTATCCAGTGTTTTCTAGAAATATTCTAGGAACAAAAGCAGTCCTGATTTCCTGAACTGGCGAAAATCTAAGAACTAAGAAGTGTTTAGCAAAAATTTAAACTTTCGTCAAAATCGGTGAAGTCTGAAGGGAATGGACATTGTTTCAAATAATTAACTGGTTTTTCCTCAAAAGTGTAATATAGTAACTTGTGTATTAATTTTTTTCAGTAAGTGTTTCTACCAAATCTGAACACTACTTATAATTAACTGTCTTGTAACCCAACTCAAATTTTAGTAGTATTTTCTGATGTATTTAAGTGAAAGTAGAAATTTTCGGCTCTCTGCCAAAGGACATGAAAATAAAGCTACAGACTAGATTAAAAATTATTTTTAATGTTTGCCTTTTTCTTGAAATAAATAATAAAACTGTACAATTATTTAGCTTTTTACACATTTTTTTCTTTTTGTAAATAAATATAAACAAAAAATATCGGTAAATATATCTATTCATCGAACAACGTGCAAAAAGGTTTTTCCAACATTAAACCCACCACCCCGTAAACATGGAGAAAGAATTAGTTATAACTTAAACAAAATCACGAATGAAAAAAAAAATTACAAAATTTTGGTGGAAATAAAAAAGACCGTGGATTGCATCGTAAGTAATATTTCCGCGACTTCACGGTGATATTTCTTGGAACGGATAGATTTCACGCTTACATTTCTTTTTTTTTTTAAACTTTCGCTTTCATTCGATAGTTTAATAGCGCATGGTGCACCGTTACTACCCCCGCTCTGTAACGAACGTAATATTTCCAGTGATTGACATATTTTTCACGTGTTTTTTCTCAACGCCTCGATTCCATGCTCTTCTTTGTGTTGTTTTTATTCGGTAACGTGATAACGAACGGCGTACTGCTGCTACCCGCTGCCATGCAATGAACATCATCTTTTCTTCAAAACATTCCGATGTCACGCTCTTCCCTTGTCGCCTTCATTTGGCAGCGTAATAGCACACGGTGAACTGTAGCTTCCCGCTCTGCCGTGGATATCTATTGCCCTAACAGCAAAATAGTACATACTGCCTGATACAAACTGTGTTAGCGTACAGGCCATAGGCAATGGTAGTGCTTTCACTATACCAAGTTTCTTCCACAGAGAAGGCGAGTTGGCCATCTGGCCATTATTTTGGTATGCAAAAAGTTGGTAAGAGTCGATAGGTGCACACCCTTCGGGGATTGTCATGTTCCAGGATAAGACAATACCATTCGAAGCACCGGAGATTGAAACAGTTGGCGTGGGTGGGGTCAGATCTCGCACGATTCCATTTGTTTGCGAGGGTGAGGATTGAGGAGGTAGTGGGGGCACGTTGGGGTGGCGAGGCGGAGCTGCTGTAGCTTGGGCACGGGGGTCATTTCCAGGGGTATTTTGTGGGTAAGGGGGACGCTGTTGACGCATAACATGGTGAGTCTGATAGCGTGGAGAACTGTTCACCTGTGGACGCATACTGGGTTGGGCACGGACCAAAGGAGGGGGGCCTGCCGGTGTCCCCACCATTCCACCAGAGGGAGCACCTTGCCTGACTGCATAGTGACGTACACCATTCACTTGGGCTGGATTCGTTGCTGAACCTGGATGGTATGAAACCTGAAAAAATAACGCAACAAATATAAGTTTTGGTTGGTGGAAACACCACGTAAATTTAGATGCGACTACCACTACCTTTTACGAGCTAAATACGCATGGGGTTGGTATTGGCAGACCAAAAGTATCTGATTGGTTAAATAATATTTCGAACCCGACTATGAGGACTGGACAAGATTTCAAGTCCGCGCAATATAATCAAGGCCGAGGACTGGATCAAAATGCGAGGACTTGAAGTCCAGTCCGAATTGGAGGATTTGAAATGACATCTCATACGAATAAAGGCTCCATTCCAGTTACGCGTTTTTCATAAATTCGCTTAAAATTTCATAAGTGCAAATAACCTTAACAAATACACATTAAATCATACACAAAACTGAATGCTGTCTTTTTATAAATTTAGTTATTTCATAAGTAGGATGTAAAGCGAATTCAACTTTTACGTGCGTGTACGCACATATAAAAAACTCGTAACTGGAATGCAGCCTTAAATCACTATACTTATACGGAGATGAATTAATTTTGATCCAGTCCTAGGGATCAATATACTTCACCACGTATCCAGTATTATCATGTGAGCAAAATAAAGCAATCTGGTTGGCTAATTTATCATGAATTATTAATGAATTTGAGATTGGTAGTTAGGTCTAATCAGTTTCAAGAAAGCAGTCCGTAAAATACACATAGAGAGCTTGCTGGACAACAACTCCAACTGCTGCGAGATGTGCAGGGAGTGAACAGATACACTTATCTTTTTCATACAGTATTTATAGTCTATAATATATACATATACATATTATAATTTATTGTAAATTTTTAGATATATAGTGTCACCAATTAGCTGTAAAAGTTAAATAAGCTGGACACTGAAATAAAGTTTTTATTATTTATTATTATTTTTTTTCCTTGCGATAGTAACTCCTAGTTATTATTATTATTATTAATGGTAGCGGCAGTAAAAGTCTCTAATACAATAAATCTCTCTAACACAATCGCTTGCAACTAAGGATAACGGTCGCAGATAAAACATTGTCTATTCTCATGACAAAGTTCAATGTTTTTACCGAGAAACTTCGCTCAGCCAATAAGCTTGCAGGCTTGTAGCTGGTCGAACATGATTGGCTGATCAGATTAAAACCTGTCAAGTGCTCTTGACAAACAGTGAAATTTCTCGGTAAAAACATTGAACTTTGTCATAATAGACAATGTTTATCAGCGACCGTTCATCCTTAGTTGCAAGCGACAGTATTTCTTCAAAAAATCAAAACTTGCCTGTTGTTGAGGTCTGGCAGTAGCAACAGAATAACGAGGTGGAGGGCCTTGAGGCGACCTCTGCCTTGGAACCAACGGCTGGCCCGTCGAAATCTCCATTCTTTCTGGGTTCACTACGTACTGTACTGTTGGTTGGGCCGGTGTTCTTATCATTACGCCATTGGGTGCTTGTGGGTTATAGGGGAACCTGTTCGGCAATGACTGGGTAGGTGGGGAACTCCGATGTACACCTAGGGTACTTGGGGAAGTTGGGAGGCTTTGTGGTTGAGGATAAACAGTGGCGGTGATGGGTGCCGTAGGTCGAATGAATGTTGTATGAGGACGAGGCGCAACGACTGCATTCGGGTGACTTCCAGGCTTGTATGGAGCTGTAGTAGTAAGAGAAGGAATTAGTGAATAGGGAATCATTATTTTTTCGCTGGCTGAAGCGTGAAAGAAGCGACAAACAGATTTCTCACGCTGCAGGGCCCAAGACGAGGTGCTATGCTCTTATATGGGCATGTGCCTCGAGATATAGCGTCTTTTGCCGCAAGTGTGGTAGTTACCGCCCTGGTGGTACGAGACATTGGTTAGGGTTAGGTCTAGTATGTACAATGTGTATAAAATGAATTGATTAAAGGCACTGCTACATTTGCCGTGGCAGACCACGCGGCAACCCAGTATGAGTGAGAATTATTTGTTTCGTGGAAATACGTTTCTATTGTAATTACAATATACTAGAGAATATAATCTATACTATAACACTACAATTAAGATTTTAATTTCCTGACCTTCGCTATACATACGTGGTTGACCAGCCGACGATGTATATACATGACCAGTAGTAGCAGCCGTGTGTCTGACACCGTTTGCTATGCTTGTCCCTCGCATCGCGTATGCACTAGCTAACGTGCTCACTTGTGAAGCATACGACAGCGTCGTTGACGGAAGTTCATAAAAGCCTGGTACGGGGTCTATGACGTGTACAACGGGCGCAGGTTTGCTGGGTAAAGTCACAGCTTGCGTACTAGATGCTACAAGCGTCAGTGGCTAGAATAAAATGAGGGAAAATACAAGTATTTAAACTACTTCAATACTTATATTTTACGCCTGTTTACACTTGCAAATTTTGCTGCAATTCTAGGTGTGATTTTGTTCTTTTGATGGATGTGAACGAGTGGACGAGTTATAAATATTCAAACGAGGGGACATATAGAATATTCATAATTCATCTACTAGCCTGCGAACAGGCTCTCAAGGTGAATTGAGAGCCTGCACTGATATACAATTTTGAAAAAAGGTATCAATTTCCCATGCGTAATACAAAATGACTGAAAAACTGCAAACTTCGCAGGGCTATATTATCCGTATTTTACAACATTTCGCAATGAAACGTCGGAATATTACTAATTTTGTGATGCTCTTTCAAGCTGTGGTAAAATGTTTGTTTAGACTTGTCGAGATCAAAATTTTGGTCATTAGGGAATAGGTCCATTGAGGATCTGCTCTAAGGCACATCTTTCTCTCAACAATGATTTTTACACTTACTGGTGGCTCACTGGAACCAGCTTGGATTCCAACATGGCGATGATCGGGTTTCTACAAAACATAGAACAATGACCAGTAACAATAGATGAACACGTGTTTATCACAATTCTATTCAATATAATGTTTACCACAATTCTATTCAATTTACAAACACTAACGTTATTTCACAAAAAAATATATATTTTTCATTTTATAAAAAATATATTATATCTCATTCTCCCGGCCAGGCTTCGAAACAAAGAAATTCTTATTGCTAACCTGTTGTTGTTGTTGCTGTTGTTGTTGCTGCTGCTGTTGTTTCTGATACTCCTTCACAACCTTCGCTAACATTTCTTGTAAATTCTTTGCGTGTTCTTGTAGATATCGATTCTCGTTCTCCAATATCGTAATTTTTTTCTCCAGATCAGGAATGACTGTTTCACTGTAACGGTCTTCTAATTTTTTCATCTTTTCATTCACCATTTTTCTTAGAACCTGACGAAAAAATCACAACTCGTTGCCTATTGTGTCGGTAAGTCCCTTTGCATAGCCTCCTCCGCAGGCATCTCTTAATCGTCGATAACTTATATAATTTAGTTATTCAAATAACTGATGTTCTTACTCAAATAACTGATGTTCTTAGACGTCCAAAGGTCATAACAATGATCAACAACAGACAACCAAATTCATACTACGTGACGGAATTTAGACCGAGACGGAAAACACGTCTGGCATCAGGCTGTGTATAGAGCGTTTGCACATGACGTCACAGCCGCCATGTTGGTGTTCCAATTCAAAATAATTTTAATTAGACTCTTTTGTCTGGAACACCAACATGGCCGCCATGGCTTTTGTTGAGTTGGTCCCTGGCGAATGAGTGTAAATGTTCTATATGGAAGCCACCAGCCGGGCTGCACGCTTTCTATTGCTACGTTTAAACTGCAGGCACGGATTTTCTGGGTGTGTGTGCGGGTGTGTGTGCGGGGGGATGGCATTTGGCACCGCCCCCAAAAAGTTTTTGCACCCCTCAAATTATACATATTTTGATTTGATATTTTCCTGTTTGGTTATTCTTATTACTAAATTTGTAAAATTACGTAGATGCCGCCATGCAGGCCTAGAAAACAAGTTTTGTTAAACATTTTCTTTGGCCTTTCTGAACGTTGCAACCAGGCCCCGGCCAAAGCAAGCAGCAGCACCCCTGCATTGATTGCTAATTTGTCCTCCAGATGCATCATCACCGGTGCTGTGACGTCATGTGCAATGGGTCTACAGTTTATTTTTAGACTAAACAGGACTCAATTGAAACTAGCCCTGTTGATTTAAATAAAAAATAAGACACTCCACACTTACCGCATAAAATTCCTCGATACCAACAGGGATATTCATATTTTTATCCATCGACTGACCCTTCCCATCACCCTCCGAACTTTTTACCCCCTTGCCAACCTCACCCGCCTGCAAATTACCATCGCCCGATTTTAGGGCACGATTTTCCTTATCGTCTTCCTTTACTAAGACTGTAAGTCGGGCATAAAGTTCAGCGGGGTCTACCGGTTTGGACAGCGCGTCCAGATTTTCGGGCCGTGGTGACGAGCCAGGAGATGAGCCCGCGGATGAAATAATAATGTCATCGGATTTTGGATTTTGAATTTTTTCCGTACAACTCGCGGCAATGCGACGTAATTTTTGAAATTTGTCAGGTTTTACGGAAACTGTACTAATTTCCACATTTCCCAACCATTGTTTGCTAATTTTGCCTTCTGTGGAGATATCTAGACGGAAATAAAAATATAGATAGTTTTCAAATTGTTGCTACTCAGGGAATTGATTTTGCACGATGTGCATTATGCACTTAGCCGGCTGTTTTAGGCTACGTTTACACCGAGACGATGTTTTCAGAGGAATTATTGCAACGGAGAGGTTTTGTTTCGCTCGTCTTCTGAAAGTTGTACATTTCGTATATTGGATAAGTGTTTTTTCGTGCGGTCACGCAAAGGTATCCGGTATACAGGATGTCCAAAAAAACCTCCAAAACTATTGAATTAACGTATTGTTAGAATTTAAATGCCTCAGCACTCTCTGGTGAACCCACAATTTATGCATAAAGAACTGTTTAAGAAGCTGCTTTAAATTCTCAAGAGGAGAAAAATCGTGCGCTTTACAAAGATATTTTAATTTCTTAATAAGTCAATATTTAATATATGCACCCTGTCAATATTTTACGCATCTTTGCGTTCAGCTTAGTGCTAGGGCATTTCAATAGTTAGTGGTTTTTTTGTTTTTTGGGGACACCCTGTATTGTAAACGACTAACGTAGCCACCCTATATTGTAAACGACTAACGCAGCCTTAAACTAGCTACAGCAAACGAATGGTCAATGGACAACAAATGTAAAGCTTCAGTCTCCGTATGTATAAAACACATAACTTAAATAAACCTTTCGTGTGACCTACCGTTTACGTTTTCTGTTCTCCTGCAAAAAAGGGAATAAACTTTATCACTGTTTGTTGTTTTTAGGGCTGATTTTGTAACACAGAGGCGCACATAATGAAGCTTTCAAAGCATTACGCATGTATACAATATCTCATGTCATGATTGAGTGAACAACTAAGGAGAAAATTTTAATACTCTGAAAACTGATTTGCATATGAATACGAGTACCCTGACTTTGTTTACATATTCACAAGATGATTAAAGATCATTAACTACAAAATCACCGACTGACATCGTATATTGATCGATGTGTTATCGACGGCGTGTGCAAGTGTGAATTCTAATAATCGGTAGCCAGCAATGCGTGCGATGCACCTGTTAAATACCCGTAGTATATTTTTTCAAAATTCCGAGGTTGGAAAAAAAAATGACATTAATGATGATCAGAATCTAACAGTTCTGTGTCTTTCTCCAACACTCATAAATGATCTTTCTTTACAAAATAGATTCACTATAGTTCACATGTACATAGATCTCGACTGCTTATTTTGTAATGTTGACTTGAAAAACTGGTTTCATATTCATTCTGCAGAGTAGAACGAAAAATTCTTTGTCCCGAGCGGTATTCGAATTCCCATTTTCAAGTTTTTAGTCCAGACCGCCGCTCTACCCATTGTGGCATTGAACTATCAAGTCAACGGGGATTGGTAGTGAGTCTTATCCAATTATAAGACCCCGTTTACACGGTACCGGACGAATTTGGAACCGGGCTGAAATTCGGCCGTGTAAGAAAAACAGGAGCCGGACGAATTTGAGACCACTTAACAGGACGAATTCGCGTGTAAACAGGCGAAAAAGGACGAATTTCAGACCGGTCTCAAATTCGTCCCGTATCGTGTAAACGGGGTCTAAGTGCACAAGCGACGTTGTTCTCAACACGGACATCAGATTCACGCGTGGTGTCCGTGTTGACGAAAACGTCGCTTTCTCACGTATTATCGCGACAACGTAACGCTCGTCTTGAAGGACGCGCAATGTTTCAATTCTAATTCAGAACCATCCTCAGAGAACCATCCTTGACAACATCCCAGAGAAAACATTAAACTTTAGCACCATCATCTATAAACTAACAAAGTCTACAAGAAATCTCTATTTTACCAAAACCTTGATTATATATTTAAAGCCGCGCTAATGGTTCTTGCTTGAATTAGGTTATTTCCACATGTAAAACGCATGACTGGATATTTTTGAATCCGGCGTAATTAACATACTGTATTTGTATGTAAAGGTAACCTGATTTAACAGTCAAAATAATATCTTTACACAAACATATTGTATGAACGCGCTAGTATAGGCAGTATGGAAAACCTTCTAAACGGAAGTGAAGTACATAAGCTTTCACTCTACCTTCGTTTAACAGGTGACGCTTCCTCCATATTTGAGAACATCAATGACCGCCAAACATCGTAAAAAAATTACCTAAAGAAAATGTGGTGACAACAGTTAGTTATTGGTGGCTTCAGTAACAAGGTTGAAGACGGTGGTCAACTTCATTTGGGAACTTACAGAAGCAAGGATATTAAACTAAATCTAATTTTATTTATTCCACAAGATTGTTTACTACATAGAATGAAAAGAATTAACATTATTTTCTCACTCTGATGACTGCCGCCTGACCAACACCCGAGGCACGAGAGTGGTTATTGAAACTACCTATAGAATATAAACATTTGAAATCAGGTAATATTAATACTAACCACTTTGTTATTAACTTTCTATAACACTTCGACACGTCATGCGTACGCCAAGTGAATTGTATATATACGCTTATCTCGCAAGGTTGCAGGGGTCGTTACGTCTCATTGCACTTCAAACACTACACCACACGCACTCTCGTGCTATATTGTTTGACAAGCTACCATGAAATAAGACACCGTGAAATAATAAACTAAGAAACTTCTACGTTGTCCAAGTTTGATAAACAATAAGTGCGTAAGCCCGAGGCCCACTTTATATTCCAAAAGTAAAATTTGCAAGTACCTCGTTTATAGAACCAATTAGAATAAACATGAAAGAATTCTAATTTGAAAGAGTATTCTAAAAGAACGATTAGAATTTTTTAAGAATTCACATATAGAATTTCACATTCAGATATTCGCCGTTTGTCCGCCTATTACATATGAGGTTAGACTCAGGTCAGGCAGGGTTCAATGCACGGAATCCAAGACCAAGAACACTAAACATTGAAAATTACCAAAGGACAACATTTGAACTCGAAGACGATCGAATTTCGTTTAAAAAGTTGGCTTTTATGAAGTTACTCCAAACCCAAGCCAAGCATTTGAAGGGTTGGTTAGAATGCTTGGCTTACAAGAAACCCAAATTAACCCATAACCACGATGACGGTTTGGACTCATCGTACGCAAACAATCAATTTGGACGATATTGCCATATTGGGATCAAAAAAATTTTAAACAAACAAATCATATACGACACTTCCACAGTCCACACCTTTGAAAATCAAGATCACCAAATACAGCGAACAAAACCACAGACAGGAACCAATACGAAAAATTTGAAAAGGTTTGAGCATCAACTACTACACGACAGTGACAGTATAGAACTACATGGAAAAGAATGGAATATAAGAAAGATCGTAGCATATATCCGAGGAAGACCACACAAAGAACTTTAAATTCATTGCTTGACGTCAACGTTACTTGACTGGCACTTGTTAATACGAAATATAATTTCTTTGTCAGTTTATACATGACGTCAAATATAATTGATTTGTCATTTGTGGAAAACTCGTCTATTTTACGTCCCCAATTCTTTCGAGCCGTAACCCCAGACCTAATTCCTCCGTACAAAATACAAATACTACAGATTTTGAATTGTACATACTTCAGTAGTTCAGGTCGAGGTTCACAAAGCAGGGAATCATTGATGTTAGTAATTTAAAATGTTCATCAATTCGACTATGAACAAAAATTTCGTCTGGCACGACAGACCGTTCTTGTCTGGCGTTTGACCTTGAGAGGTTATATCTTGATTATTCCACAGATTACACTTCAACTTCAAATATTTGTCTATTATAGTTTATAATATTATAGGAATGTGAAGAATGTTGGTACTAATTGCGACATGCTGTTTTATTGTAGATATCAACGCACCACATATATTTATATGTCTTCAGCTGACGCCAAGTCAGTTCATCGTTTCAGTCCGCTTTACAACCAATACAATGGATCCCAATGACATATACCGTGCGTTTGCCAGTGGATAGAAAACAGACGATAAAAGTCTTTATCAACTTCTTACGGTTCACTGCTTCGCTTCTTAAGTCGTTGTCACTTGTCATTCATCTAATATTAGATGGACAAAAGGTCATAACATAATTGTCCAACTTCAATGATTTCGTCGACACAGTATCAGCATTACAGTAAATTAGAGTATGAACTGTAAGAGCAAACAGTTCAGTGTTTGTCTGTAAACATGCATTAAGACACAACCACGTCCATACTACATTTCCTTTAGTGTCTTTGGTGGCCTTCAATTCCTTTACTGTCTTTGACTTCAAAATCTTCTCTTTGTCACAATGAGTGCAATTGTTCCAAGACGGAGATGTAAAATTTACTATACTTAGTATTTGAAATCAAGTCGTTTGAAGCGCCACAGTTGTCCGTTGATAAGTATTTAAGTTGTTGATAAGTATCAACAGACTAGATTCTGCAATCAGCGATATAAGCAGTATTGAGTAACAGCGAAGTGAGGAGCTAACGACCGTCTCTACCGGTGCAGGCCACTAGCCTATCAGGATGGTCGTGACTTGGTCCCACGGACTCCCAATTGTTTCCTGTATGACCAGCAATATTCTCAGAAATATGTCTAGAATTCGTTGCCAAATTTAGTAGTTTAGGACTTTTATTTTGTCTTCCTTATATCGCAGAGAACATCGGAACAGTGACATCGGTCTTCAACAAAATTTTATCAAAGGAAAAAAACGAGAAAGGGCAGGATTGAGGAATTCTAAGAAATATCTGTAATTCATGTCGTCATAGAATGTTGATTGACGTTACCGTGTTGTTACAAGAATGATGCAAAACGGGTGCCTTCGTGGAATACAGTCTTGAATTAACGTTCTCCAATACAATAGAGCATCGCAGTTTTAGAAACAACACATAATCGTGGATATTCGATGTCAATATTTTTTCTTTGTTCCTCATGAGAGAAGTAAAACATTCAAGAAGTTTGATCTCTATAGCCACCATTTGGCCTTGATCATTCATTTCAATCAATCATATAAGCACGAAGTATATACAAAGACGCCTCAAGACAAGAGATAAAGACTTATATTCCACAACCAATTTCATAGAAAGTTGAACACTTTTTTAAAGAGCAAGGTCAATGATGTATTGCCGTTATAATGCATCAATGTTGTATTATAAACGACCATATTATGCCGTCCATATTCACATACGAAGTGAATCCTAAATTATTTAGACCTACTAACTTCCCCAGGCCTTTGTCTTTGATCGAAACGTCGAAGTTCTCCTTGTATTTTTCAGGTAGTTGCATCTCTATCAATACGAAGCTTTCTTACATTCAACAACAGTAATATATTCATTTCTCGTCAAAGAAAAACTGCTTGACCTTGGCTATATTACGTAATCATCACTTGGCAAAGGAATTGCAACAAAAATAACATCATGGTATTCTTAACCAAAGGCCAAGGAGAATCTTAACTTTTAGCCATAGGCGCGTGATTTTACATATTTAGCTAACGGGATAATGCCATACATTTATTTAATTAGTCATTACTGAAATTAGCATTTCACATTTTAAGTATTCCCTATTCAGACATAAATTAAATATGCATTATTAGCCATCAAGGAGTGTTTACAATTTCTTTGCAACAGCTTGTATCTATATAGTGTTATATATAGATTCTATTTCCACAATTTTTAAGAATTCTTAAAAATGCGGTAATATTTAAAGTTAAATACAACACATTTATTATTTAACAACACTAGTCTATATGAACTCGCAAATAATACGGCGTCAATAGATTCAAAATGGACGACAACGTAGCGGACAACATCCAAGACTCCCCGAATAACATTACTTAGACAACTTCATCAGACTAAACATTATTCATTAAACAAGTCAGCTGCTTTTGTGCTTTAATATACCAGTCGTATACATACGCGTTTTCTTGTTAAAAAGGTTTATAAAAGACAGTACAGTCTATTCTACTCTGTCGGGACGGACTCAAGCAGTAGCAGCCTGGTTATGCCGGCAAATAAAACGCTACGCTTTATAAATACTGCTTTGGCCTTTACTCTTTAGTTTATAACTTGTAAATTATCCACAAACTTCGAAGCCAGCCAGCCTGGCGGGATAAAAAGCAAGAAATTGGCAAACAACGACGGACGTCACTAAATTCTAAAACTGAACTATAAAACTACACGTTTCAAATTACAACACGTCGATATTTCCTTCCAAACCGACTAAATATCTATTTTATCTAAAAATTATAATTTTCTGCCTCATTAAACCGCTTAGAAGAAAATAATAAATAAGTTTCAAAACGGCATAAACTACGATAAAACGATAAAATTTACGAAAGAATGAACAAATTCTGCCTTACCTTACCGTGCCTCGTGGTTGAAAATAAATATGGCGGCAATTGCATGTACAGCGCATGTGTAGAACACTAGACTTATAAATTATTCCATAATTTAAAACACTTTTTGTTTTTATGCAAAATAATTGTCATGTACACAACATTGAATGGCTTCTTTAAGTCTTTTTCTTGGCGTCAATGCGACGCCAGGAATGATTTCGAAGGTACCCAACAATTGTTGGTTTTGTAATATTATTGCTTTAAAACAATATGTTGACGAACTTTACGATTCCTACTTGTATACACATTTCTAGTACGCGTTTAAACTAAAGCCAAATGAGAGGTTTTTGTCAACCACTTCACATTTGACTTGCACGCGCCTGACAACATTTGCAATGCCGTTCTTCAAATCGAAGAATGGTCGTTGTTTCTCAACGGAAATTGCTCAATTTTTCCCCCTTAAATCGGACCAGAATATGAAAATATTATCCATAGCGGTTAAAATACAAATTACACAGCACCAAACGTGTGGTTAAACTCACCAGATAATGTAAGAAATGCAGCAAGCACAGAAATAAGCGCAACCGAACTATTTGTAAATTCGGTTACTTTTACTCCCTCCAAACGGCGAATAATCTCCTAGAATACGTGAATATCTTGACAAAAGGAAGAACAAGACAACACAGCTATATTTTATGGTGAAATCTTGAATATAATAAAGAATCGAAGATGATTTTGGCAATTTGACATGCAAGATGATCCGCGGTATTGTTACAGGGCGGAAATGTGACATAACACACGTGGTTTTGAGTGACAGGTGTAATTACCACCAGTAAAGAATTGCAAATATTAAATCCAATCTCATCGCAAAATCATTCATAACTTTTTTAATTTTACACACAACTGGACAAGAAATACCTCATTCGATAGAGCAAAAGCTAGCGAATAGCACCCAGTTAAATTTAGCGAGTAGTTTTCCATTTTACAGCGTAATAATGCGGTTCTTTTTACATAACGTCGGCCTCTTTGAATATTTCGTAAACATCACATGACATCATTAGGAATTCCAAGCCCCGCCCACGCGTGATGAGGATAAAAAGTTTTCTAGAATTACTGGCGCCAGTTGGCACAACCGCTTTAAATATTTTACTTTTAGCATTCAAAAGCTGCTTTGTTTTTTAATTATTTTACGTTTTTAAACAGCAAAGCGTTAGCCCAAACAGTTGGACAAACAATTCGCAAAAAGGCAAAGTGAAACTTGATCCCAACCTCGTACAAACCTGATTCATACAATGACAATATTCAGTGCACTTTATACGGATATAAAAACTGGCGCCCGTACCCCAAATTTATCCATACTCAGCCTTTGTAAATAGGTAGTCCGAGCACGGGTAGAAAGAGTATACGAGTACCAAAATTGAGCATGTCAACGAGCGGCGCGGACAAGCCGCATAACTGAAGAACAGATCCCGAAGCGCTCGGATTAATACTTCAAGTTCTGGTGTAACTTGATCGGTAAAACCGTTGACATCGAGGTTGCATAATCTTATTTGATTTGTGTGTTATAAATACAACACCGCAAAAATGTTAAAATGCTTTGCCATGTGCAACTTAATAGTGAATTAAACGTATTTCACATTTAATGATTTATTATTTCAGTCAGATCGGACTCCGTTATTGCCGAGGTTATTGCCACATATTACATGTTTTTCGGCTACATAAATGTCGATCACGTAATATCCGATTAGAGAGGCTAAGATACCCCGGTTTCGGTGTACGGGTACGAGTAGTGTCATCTTGTTTTACTGATGTCTGTAATTCGATCATACTTTTTCTGTTTTCTTGCAATAGACAATGGTATAATGCGAAAAATGTGCACCTTAATTACGAGTAAAGGTACAGACATCGACGAAAATATTGGATTTGCTAACCAAAATCGTGCTTACCCGTACACCGAAACCGGGGTATCTTAACCTCTCTATTATGTCCATTATTGCAAGAACTCTTTCATGGTCACGCTTGTTAAATTAAAACTATAAAAGCTACTTTCACGATCACGTAAAATGGATTTGAAACCTTACCGTACGATCACGTACGGATTAAAATAATCACTGATCACGCTTTATACTGACACTCGGCCTCCGGCACACAAAGTCAAAGACATCTGATAATTTTCAAAAATTTCGAGTTTGATACAGCAATGACTAATGTGGCCGTTTAAAATTCAGGCTAACGGTAATGTTCAAGGACAGAATCGAGACAAAGTATTGAAAGTGACAACAGCGTGAACTATATACATTAAAATGTCAGCATAACATGTTTTTAATACAGTTTTAATACAAAAGATTTTCCCGAACAATCCGTATCCGTTGCATATTGACAACTCACATGCAGTTATAGAGACAAGTCTAACACCGTAAATTCCGAAAATAACGCCCCCCCCCCCAAAAAAAAACCCTCAAATAACGCGTTTACTTATGGCCCTTCGGCTCGGTTTTCTACGAAAAAAGTAACGGCCCCTTAGCCCTATAGCTAACGGCTGTGAAATAATGTCGTTTACTTTGCCACCGTTTATAGGAAGCGACCCTACGAAAAACGGTGCTTTATAACTTCTTTGCTATTGGCTATAAACGTTGTTAAATCCAGTAACAGGGCATTATTCTCGGAATTCCACGGTACTACCTACTTCTACATTACTACAGCTGTACACTATTCTTGAAAAGCAAGATCTAAAAATGCTAAAGCTTGGAGAAGACAATCACTGAGATCGTCCTTCTTTTTTTCCGACATAAAATACTCCAAAATCTCGTCTGGTATATCAGCTTGCCATTTCATATCTAACATGTGCTTTGGCATTGAAGACGTTGCCAGAATCGAGCCCACAGTTTCCTTGCTTCCTTGCATGCTTGTCGCTTTCTCAAAAAACGCGTTAGGCGACTCCTCAAATAACTGCATATTCTCCGTTTTCCGAATCATAAACGATATTAAATTAACAGCAGCTTTTTTCTTTCCTTGTCCAGTAGGGAGGCCAAAATATCTGGCCGTCACCGAAGGGTTCATGTCAAAAACTAGTTTATTTTGGAGTAGACAATGGAACATCGCTTCGACTATCCTGAGGTGGAGGACAAATGGGAACATTACTGGATCCACACGGGATGCTCGGTGACTTTGTAGTTCAATGATGTATAATTCAGCATTTGGTAGGCTTGATACAACTTGGCATACCTGAAGCACAGAATACACGCTAAATCTCACATTAAGTACCATAGTTTTACATCTGAAATGATTATCCTGTAATAAATATGTTGAAAAGCATGCAGAATAAATGTTAACAACGTATAAATACTACAGGGTGAGTAAAAAAAAACTGATACCTTCGCGGCTAATTTGAATAACAAAGGTGTCAGTTTTTTTTACTCACCCTGTATAACCAACACACTCTCGATACATTCCGATACTTACAGATTTTTTACAGTTTACAGGATTATAAGGCCGGGCAACAGGCACAGAAATTCTTTTCCAATCAAGAATACGCTTCTTTCGATCGATATGAACATACGCGGCATTGCTTAGGCCTATATCTATCGAGACCAGGCTAGATATCGTCTGCGAAGAGATAATTCGAGAAATAAACACGCGGATTCCAGAATTGTACACAATACATAAAAAGAATGATATTTCGAGCATGATTTGTTAAAATTAGGCTAACTGTACCTGTTGGGAATGTTGTACTTGTGAGTTGTGGTTTGTCAAAACAATTCAAGTATTTAACACGTGGGTTTAATCTTTCCATGCTTCAATACATCAGTACGGCGAAATTAAAATTACGTAATCAGCCCCTAAGGCTAACTCTTTGTGAGAAGTGTCGTAATTTATATGTTATGACTTATGTCTACAGACAAATGGCAAATAAATTTGTATGTTATCCATGTTTAATGTAACCTGAGTATCAGGCTCTCGCTGTTTAATGGTAAACATATGTTCGTTAGATAATGTACATTAGTTGTATTATTGTGTGATAGATATGGTATTACATCATGCAATATGTAATAAACGAGAAATAGTTTATCACCGGTGACGGTGTATAAAATACCGAAAAGTGTGTTGGAAAATGAGGCGCTAGTCTACATTTTTCACATACTTTGAGGTGTTTTATAAGTCGGTAAAAAACAGCTTTGAGTTTGTTGTATTACCATTTACCTCTCAAACGAAGTAACCGCAACAATTCATTTCTTCAAAGAGAAATTCAGAGCGATAGTTGAGTAAATTTATGAGAATTTTTTCATAAGAATTAATAATGAGTTTGAGATGTAAATAGATTCAAAACTCTTTGAAAACCAGATATTTTCAACTAAAAGGCTACCGCGATTAAACAAATTTAAATAATTAACAATTATTCGCCGAACGGGCGAGGTGATTATCGGTGAATAAAAACCGAGACAAAGTCGAGGTTTTTATTCACGATAATCACCGAGACTGAGGTGAATAATTGTTTTAGTATAATTTGATAGGTGATCTGATTTGGAAAATTAATTGACAAAACGACTTCGGCCGCCATTTTGAAAATGGCACCTCAACCACAGAATAAAGATCAGTACCAGAAGGGCAACTCAGCGGTGCAACGTGTCACCATTTTTCTATGCAAAAATATGCAATTGACTGGCCAGGAAGATGGCGGCCAGCCAATACAGCGCGTTTATTGGCCAGAAAATGTAATCGACTGGCTAGGAAGATGGCGGCCAGGGTGCCCCTTCTGTGTGCTTTATTCTGTGCCTCAACGACAACCAATCAGCGTGGAGAATTTTCAATAATCACCTATGTAATTTACTAATAATTAAATAATTCTTGTTTATTTCAAATTTGTATGTTTGTTTGTTCGTAATTATAACAATAATACTAATTCTAAACAGAGCGAATTAAATCTCAAAATAAAAATGAACGAACGGCGTAGCTATGTTGGGCCTAAGCCTAGTAGCTATAGACCTTTACCCTTATAACTAAAATTTTGGTGTAGACAAGTCTAGACAAAACTTTCATCACAGCTTGAAAGAGCATCACAAAATTAGTAATATTCCCAAGTTTCGTTGCGAAATGTTGTAAAATGCGGATCATATAGCCCTGCGAAATTTGCAATTTTCAGTCATTTTGTATTACGAACGGGAAATTGATGCCCCAACACCCGATTGGGATGTCAATTTCCCATTTGTAATACAAAATGACTAAAAAACGGCAAACTTCGCAAGGCTATATTATCCGCATTTTACAACATTTCGCAACGAAACTTTGGAATATTACTAATTTTGTGATGCTCTTTCAAGCTGTGATGAAATTTTTGTCTAGATCAAAATTTTAGTTATAAGGGGAAAGGTCCATTGTACCATACCTTTTTCTGTTGGGATGTTAACAAGTAAGTCAAGTTTGATAATTTATGTTTCTTCTGTTGTATTGGTAAAACACCTTCTGATTCAAGCAAGTTTTTAAAAAATGCCTTGCCAAAGCCTTTAATGGCAGCCAAATCCACGAGAGACAAAAATGGTCCATGTTTCACACGATGTTCAATAATTGCCTTTCCACGAGCTCGCCCAATACCTTTAGTGCTGCAAAAATCGTCCAGGCTTCTTGCATTTATTTGCTCTAAAACAAGCTGTAGAATTCCAGGAATTTATATATGTGTAATATTTACAAGAGCAGTCGTGTTGGTGTTCAATAATCATTGAACATGTTAAAGATGCAATAAAAGCGAGTATTTATATTGTATATCCAATACAAGCGAGCATTTATATCGTATATCCAATACAAGACATGCAAAATGAACCATATACCATGGTGTATTAAATATTCACTACCTTTTCTTGATCGTTTGAAAACAACTCTAGCTCTGGAAACACCTTTGTTACACTTTTAGAAAACTTTCTAACGATCTTAAACCAAAACATCAGACAAGGACTTCGAAAAACACGGGGCGATTGAAGTAAGTAGCTCATCATAATGTTAAATTGTAAAAATATCAAGGAAATTGCATTTCTCCACTCCTTGAGTTTACCGCCATCTTGAAAATTTTACCCGCCATTTCGCCTCATTTCCATCCGCCAAAATAATATAGCGAATACTCATTGAGCATTCCTTGGCAAGAGCTCTCAAATTCCTCAGTTTTGCCAAAAATTCATTCAAATTGAAGTTCATCCATTCACTTTTCTATTATTTCTGCTCAATGACATCAGTCACATATTTGTAACTTGAAAAATCAACTACATAAGAAACTGAGAATTATGCAACTTGAAAAAATTCGTATTCAAATTCTATTTGCGAGGCGGTGGGGCAAGCATGTTCCAAGAACAACAGACTCAACGAAAATGACATTTCCTGCACATTGGAAAAGTTAATAGTGAACAGAGAAAATCATTGTATATTAGAACTTCTAACCAATACATAAAACACGATAGCCAAATTCCTGTTTTTAAGGATAAATTCTTGAAAGTGTTGGCTTCGCGACAACAACTATCGTGAGCATGAGATTATTTTGAAGTATGGAATTTTATAAATTCACGAAAACAACTAGTGAAAAACACCAATGGCTAGAGACGCTAGGTGGCGGACGTGGGATTTAGATTGCTTGCAAGAAACTTTGGTGTCTAGACAACAACACGAAAATGAAATTGAACCATTGATTGTTCCTGGATGTACAAGAGAAATTACTTCTCTGAATTTGGGGTCAATTGTGTTGCCCAAAGAAGCATTTTTTACATCAAACGATGCCGGTGCGAGATTGAGGGCAAGAGGTCGCGGAAGGTCATTGACCAATAGGGCTCTTGGGATTGATAAGCCCAGCAGACGACCTGGGGAGAAAAATATCTCACATGAGGTGGGGATATATTGGGTAATGTTGGTCACCAGGTGGGCTGGGGGGAGGACATGTGTCGACAAGAGAAGGGGGAGCATGCTAGATTTTGATAAGCCTGAAGGTACATTTCCACTCAGGAAAATTTTCTGCGGAAAGAAAATTTTGTAAAATTTGATAATTTGGCCGATACAATTTTCCGTCGGAAAAAAATTTTGAAGTTGAAAATGTTCAACTTTTAAACAATAATATTTTCGGAAAATTTTCTGTCCGTGGAAAATTGTCTTGAGTGGAAATGGGCCTTAACAGTTATTTTGGGGGAGAGGGGGCTTAGACGAGGGAGGAGGTTATGAGGGGTAATATATTATACATCACTGGGCACATGTGTCGGTGGGGGTGGTTACTGGTAGGTAGGAAATGGGGGGGGGGGTCCTGCCTTAAATACTCTCTAAAAGGCATTGAATATTAGTTGATTAATTGTGTAACAAAGCTTTAATTAAGAATGGTTTTACAACTATGAAAATCAGGATTTGCTGAAGTCAATGAATTTTAAGAACTGAAATTTACAGCAACGGATATGTGATAATATGTGGATGATCTAAATTTGCACATCCAGTATCTGCAGTAGTACCCTAGTAGAGACGAGTCAATATTCATGTTTCTCAACAAATATTTATATTCTTACTTGTAGGCCGGTAATCCCACTGTTGACAATCCTAAACCCACAACCCTTGGGTCGCAGTTTTTCGGCTCAAGATGTCTTTATGAAGAACTGTTTCCATCCTTAGACCAATCATCTACTAAAAAATCTGATCCTTCATTACCAATACCACCTGTGTGGAGTGGTAAACAAAAATCAAAGAGAGGCAAGCAGAATAATGAACAAGCAACAAATAACAAAAGTTCATTTTTGGAAAAATCTACAACAGACCAGTTCAAATCAAAACAATCAGATGGCCATGACAATAGCACAAATAATGGTCAGAAAAAATTGACATCCTTTTTGGAGAACTCTAGAGAGATACTAGAACAATCACATGTCGACAGTGACACAAATAGAGATGAAACAAAATTACCATCTTCAACCTTTTATAGCTGTGCAAATGATGTTGTGACCAATGTTAAAAAGTTTGTGGAAACTAAAGACAAGCCAAGATCAGACCAATTAAGTGCTTCTGAAATTCCTATGAATGATAAACATGTAACAACCGAGACTTCCAACACAAATGATGGTGAAAGTGATTCACAATTTAACACGGTAGGATTTGGTAGAATTGAGGCAATCTCAAGTGAAAGTGATTGGCAATCTGATGAGGAAGAATTTGAGCCTATTGAAAACAAGATTTCTCTACAGTCATCAAGCTTGGAAAATAGAAACAGTGTGGATTGTTTGATTACAACAGAATCCAAGGAATTAGACAAGGATAAACAATCAGAGAAACTGAATATGTTATCACACAAGTTGGAAATTGATGACTACCAAAATTCAAATCCAAAAGATTGTGTACAAGAGATTCAGTGGATAGACAGTGAGAACAATGATAAATTTTGTGAACAATACAACAATGACAATGACTGGCAATCTGATGAAGACGAATTTGGGCCAATTGAAAACAAAATTTCTCTTGTGGATTGTTTGATTACAACAGAATCCGAGGAATTACACAAGGATGAACAATCTGAGCCACTGAATATGTTATCACACAAGTTGGAAATTGACGACCACCAAAATTCAAATCCAAAAGATTGTGTACAAGAGATTCAGTGGATAGACAGTGAGAACAATGATAAATTTTGTGAACAATACAACAATGACAATGACTGGCAATCTGATGAAGACGAATTTGGGCCAATTGAAAACAAAATTTCTCTTGTGGATTGTTTGATTACAACAGAATCCGAGGAATTACACAAGGATGAACAATCTGAGCCACTGAATATGTTATCACACAAGTTGGAAATTGACGACCACCAAAATTCAAATCCAAAAGATTGTGTACAAGAGATTCAGTGGATAGACAGTGAGAACAATGATAAATTTTGTGAACAATACAACAATGACAATGACTGGCAATCTGATGAAGACGAATTTGGGCCAATTGAAAACAAAATTTCTCTTGTGGATTGTTTGATTACAACAGAATCCGAGGAATTACACAAGGATGAACAATCTGAGCCACTGAATATGTTATCACACAAGTTGGAAATTGACGACCACCAAAATTCAAATCCAAAAGATTGTGTACAAGAGATTCAGTGGATAGACAGTGAGAACAATGATAAATTTTGTGAACAATACAACAATGACAATGACTGGCAATCTGATGAAGACGAATTTGGGCCAATTGAAAACAAAATTTCTCTTGTGGATTGTTTGATTACAACAGAATCCGAGGAATTACACAAGGATGAACAATCTGAGCCACTGAATATGTTATCACACAAGTTGGAAATTGACGACCACCAAAATTCAAATCCAAAAGATTATGTACAAGAGATTGAGTGGATAGACAGTGAGAATGATCAATTTTCTGAACAATGCAATAATGACAAAGTTGACATTTGTGATCAGATGTCAGACTATTTGGAAGTTGAAGATGATCAAAATTCAACAAGTCTAAAAGATGTTAATTTTCAAGAAACTGACTGGATTGAAAGCAAGGATAATCTATTGTTTCAGAAATATGGTAATGATGACGATAAGATTTCAAGTCACTTATTAGACCAATTAAGACTAGAAGGCAACCCAAATCCAAAAGATTACTTTCAAGATATCGACTTGGTTCAAAATGATAACAGCAGTCATAGTTGTGATCAGCTATCAGCAATTTCAAATGAGGAATCACTTGTCTGGGACAAGACAAAACATTTGGAAATTTCAGACTCTTATGAACAGTTATCCAGTAATGGTCATTTATCTCCAGACCAAGATGCTAAAACAGACCACACCCAACCAATAGAAGGCTCCAGCACCATTATTTCTGCTAGTACAAACCATTTATTATCACAATCAGATTCTGAAGGACAAGAGTGTATAGAAACTAATGATACAAAGGAAAATTTGGAAGAATCTCTCAATATGTCATCAAGTGATATCGTAAGTTGTGTTCAAAAACCTTCAGCATTAATTGTATACATGATATTGTATGGCGAAGGTGTTAAGAAAGGTTCTTTTTTTCCTAGGAAATGGAGCCATGCAATGTTTTACTGGAAAATCTTCCTCTGGCTCTTACAGAAGAGGTGTGTTGGTAATAATTGTAATGGTCTGGTAATACTGTATTTGCTGTGCTGCAATGGTGCAGAATTTATTTATTTTTTGTTATGTAGAAACTTCAAGAGATTATAGAACCATATGGAGAAATGGAATCTTATAACTTTAATATAAACGACGACTCAAGCAAAACATGTACCATAAGGTGAGGTTTTAGCAACTACACATTTTCAATACTTTGTCAAAATGTTAATGTAACCACATAAAATATATATCAATTTTAGGATGCCCAATTCTATGAGTGGTGAATTGCTGGTTGTTTCCCTAGATGGTTTAGAAGTAGATGGTATGAAACTACCATTACATATTAACAATATCACCATAACATTCATAATCTAGTAATAAAGACTAACAGGGAATACTTGAAATATTCTGATTTTTTGATAGGTTATCGGATCAAAGCACAAATGGATGACAGCTGAATCTCATGAGCCATTATAAGTTATATTATTTAATACAACATTTTGTTGGAAATAGATATTTTCTTGCTTTATGAGAACATTGAATAGAATGTTGTAGTTTTGTTTTCCAGTACATTATTTTTACTAAGATGCTTGGAGCTCTGTGGTTTTAAGTGTAAAGTGGAATTATCCATTTGTAATTAAGACATGTTTGCTAATTAGAACATTTAGTCTAAAATTTAACTTGGAAGATAAATGAATAAATTATAAAAAGAGAAAGCATTATATCTCATATTATAACAGAAAACAAGACAACATGTAATTTGAAGTATTTTATTTGCATTTGTCCGTACACTGATGCTTATGCTCTGTATCCACGACTGTTACGACGGCCACGAGCACGCTCAAATTTACGTCCCCTGGAGCGAACACGGGCTCGTGTGTGGCTGTGGGGCACACCAGGTGCAAGGCCAAAGTAACGCTCAGCTTTTCTTGCCTTTCTGGGACCTGCAAGAAAAATATAGTCCACTATTAATCCACTTGAACAATCTGTTTCACAAGTTAGTACTTGTAAATTACAATAGACTGATCGAGTACATAAATTGCAGCAATCACACTCATGTATTGGGTCAGAAAACACATCTTCAACATCATATTATCTGAAGACCGTCGTGTTAAAATTCATCACACCCAACATTCATCACCCCAAAATTATTCTAAATATTTGTTTATAAACATGGTCTTTGAAGAAAAGTGATTACTCTGGACAAAATGTCCAAGCAAATGAACGCTTAACAGAGAATTGATACAAACCTTGCAACAAGACAGTGTGCTGTCCTTTTGGAGCTCTCAGAGCCAACTGATCAAATGTAATGATCTCACCACCAGCTTTCAATATCCGTGCTTGGGCTCCGTCAGTTACATGCAAGGCACAAACCTGAAAATACATTGTGCTCAAAGTCAAATGAGTCATTTCACAAAAGATCCACATTCCAATCTGATAATAGTAAGTGTATTAGGATATATTGGGGGAGGGGGTAACTTTCAATTTCATCTATGGGGAAGGTATGGATGTTTTCTGGGATGACTCAATACTGTTTCAACAACACAATGCAGCATTAGTACTTGTCAAATAGGTTTCACCGTATAATCACAGACTTGTTAGAGGATAGACCAAGACTAAAATTGTTGTTGACAGCCCATATATGTTGTCTGCCAGTTTCAGTTCTTCTTGGGTGGCAAGTTAAACGTTTAGAAGGGAACGTTTGCCCCAAACAACCTCAAGTCAACTTACGGTCATTTTGGGGATTTCATAAATCCTCTGATCATCAGTGATGGTGCCAACCACCACTGTAATCTTGCCATCGAAACCATATGGTTTCATTTTACGGACCTAGATATTGAACAGAACTAATCATTAGTAAATCCAGCTTCTAGTAAATTGGGTCAGAAAACACATCTTCAACATCATATTATCTGAAGACCGTCGTGTTAGAATTCATCACACCCAACATTCACCCAATATGTTCAGCTAATAGAGCATCGAGTATTACTATTGTGTATTAAAATATGCAAGATACAGATGCAAATTAAATTCCGTCAGGAAAGAGCCTTTGCTCGAAACTCTACAGTTTTCTGATTCAAATTATCATATAATTGTTGCAAACCTTGCAACAAGACAGTGTGCTAATCCATCTAGTCCAATGGGTCATCCCAGAAAAGATACACACTCCCCTTACGGCAGGCATTTCTGCCCTATGTAGAATGTCCGTAGGAGGTCAACTTCCAATTTCCTCTGTGGGCTAGCCTGCTCACAGACGTTGTAGTTCTTACGCCAAGCGACGAAATACTACCGTCTGCTTACCCAAGCTGCATATTCAATTCCCTTTGTTTTAGCCGAGCCAATCATCTGGCAGTGTTCAAAAACATTAGAGCCAATTGGAAGCCGCCTTATATATTGAGAGATTAGCTACTGGGAAAAGCCCTTGCACATGCATTGGAATATATTGTTTGGGTTGAAACTGAAATTTGTTTACTTGCGTGGATATATTTTGGAAACTATAGCGTTGAACTTCACGATGTTTACGTAGAATAATATTGTTATCATCTTCTCGCATGTTCAACAAACAATCGGTGTATATAAAGTGCTAAAGCAATGCAGTAGGCGAAATTTAAATTTTTGTTTATAACAATGACAAACAATCAATCGGGAACCAGGATATGTCCAAATGTTGCTCTTGATACTTCCTATATGCCATGACTTCGACAAAAACTTCTAAAAGATTAAGCTCTCATTGTCATGTAGAAAAGTATAGCCAAGTTAGAGTATATTAAACGTTTCGAAGTTTGGGCGAATTGGAAAATTCATCGCAATTTTAATACAAGTTTCTCGGGTTTGTGTTGTGTTTACAGTTTACATTCAGAAGTGGTTGCTCAGACAGCAAATTAGTTTACTTTGAAGCTAATATTTCGCTTTCTAAGCCACAGTATTATATACAATTTTCTGTCTTCCGAGTTCTGTTGTCTTATAAAGATAAACCGTTCAAATTTCAGCGAAATATATTCGGCATTTGATGCCGTCTGGCTAAGATTCATACAGTATAAATATGCCAATCCTGTCCGCGTTTTAAATATATTAACCGAACATCTTTAATATCCAAATCTGATCATTAATGGTGCATTTTATTACCTGGACAAGTATCAGTATCTTTAAATTCAATTTATGTGCAATTTTGACCAAAATTCAACCGACAACTGCTTTCAAAATATATATTTATGTTTATTCCACTCCTAAATCAACTGACGTCACTTTCCAGAATTTGGAAGGTAAATTCTGATTGGTTGACGTAGCGGAATTCAGTTTGGCGCTCGGGCAAGCAGACGGTAGTATTTCGTCGCTTGGCGTAAGAACTACAACGTCTGTGAGCAGGCTATCTGTGGGCCAGTGTGGAGAGTTTGTATCGCATGACCGAGATACCGATATTTTGATGCGTTCTATATATATTTTCTATTAAATTTTCGAAATCTTGGTTACGCAATTTCCAAACTTTCCAATCAGGTCCATGGGGGATGTGTGGATGTTTTCTGGAATGCCCCTAGTTATGTGAACAGTGCATAAGTTCATTGCAAACTGTGGAAACATACCAGTCTAGCAATTGATAGAGGTGGTCTGTTGATCTTACTCATACAAAGCCTTTTCAAAACAATCTTGTTGAATTTAGCATCAGTACGCCGGACCAGAAACTTGTATAGCTAAAAGAATCATTGAAAATTTGAAATTATAAATTTTATAAAAATTTAGCCAAAATCATTGAACTAAAAGTATGTCAAAAATCAAAATAATTTATTTCACAAACAGCAAACATGAAAGATGAATTTGTAAAATTTATACCTTCACCAACAAACGGAGATAGATGTTCTCCGAGACGGGGTCTCGCCGATTTTTTTTCTTTTGGTGTTTATGTTTGATGTCTATACCCTAAAACATAACGAAATATAGCATGTAATCCTAAAATATCATAAAGTACGATAACTACAGGTTTTATTTTGTGTAATTCTATCCAAAAATGCAGAAAAGTACAAAGGATGGCTTAGAAAAACGATGGATTTTCCATATAGTAGAAAAAGTTATAAACACTCACCATTTTGGAAAGAAAGAGGGAGACAAGAAGAGCCTGGGAACGAAGCACGATGCTGGTGCTTCCACATAATATATTCAAAATTTCCCTGAAAATTTTGGGAAAATTTCCAATATTATTAATTAATCCGTTTCCTTTGTGTTTCCATTAAATTTCTTTTACGTTGTTAAATTTTGGAAATTGATTCATACTTTATTCTTGTATTTTATTACTATTCTTATTTAAAAATAATTAAAATTACGCATGAATTGTTATTGAAACGAATCGAAACGTCGTAATAAAATAAATTTCTATGACTACATTTGCTTTCAAAATTCCATTGATACAAAATTCCCAATAGGAAATTTCCTATCTCCCACAATACTTCATTTAAATATAATAATAACAAATTCAATGAAAAAAAATTAACAATGGCTACCTACAATGAATGATTGAATGCCACAATGTTTCAAGCTAAAACATGAGCTAAAAATGGCAATAAATATTATGAAATCATGTAAATTTATTCATAAAAGAAAACTGTAAACGTCGACAGTTGTCAATTTTATAGTAATGGCTAAAACATCGAGTGTTCCTTTTATTATCAATGTTGTTAATACGGCTTTTGGAGTGACTGTTTTAGCTGTGCCTTACTGCTTTCATCAGGTCAGTAGGTTTAAAAATACGATAAAAATATGTTTAGGGTTGTAATTTATAAATGCTTCCTACCTAGGCTTGCGTGACGGTAAATGTAGTTGTTTTGGGGGTTTTATTTTATATTGTACTGTACTAGAAAGTAGAAATGAATATACAAAATTGGAAAAATACAATGAAACTGTGAAATAAAAATCCAACACAATTTGGTAATCACACATATACAGAGGGTAGATATGTTAGCAGACAGGTGTAATTCAAGACAATTTGCATGAATAAGGCCATTTAGAGTAAATTCATTTACCATTAATAATTACCAAGTCAAATCCGAGTCAAACGTCCGAGTCATGTAAAAAAAGACGAAATTGAATAAAATTCACAATCGAATAGGGTTAGGAGTAGGGACTCGGTCAGACCATTTAAATTCCATTTGATGCTTTACCAGCAACTAACCAGTTAACCTATTGTAAAGTACGGTACATGTTACATAATTTCACCCTACTTTACTATGTTGCTTTGTCTAAAGGCTGTTTTCCACTGCAACTGTATCGTACCGAAGTGTATTTTCATTGTTTCCTGAACACTAGAGAGGAACTGATGGCTTTGACACAAATGAAAAAAATGCTACGATGCGTTACAATATGGTTGATGTGTAAAACAGCCTTAACACCAGAACTAGACAAGGTAAATTCAGATATTTAAACCATTCTCTGAGTAGTCTAGTGTTGCTATATCAGTTAGATAGTCAATCATATTTTATTTGTTTGCAGTGTGGTCTGATATTAGGTGCCATGCTTCTATTTGCATCGTCCTATGCATCAAAAAAGTCATGTAGTTTATTGCTGAGGTCAGCACAAATATCTCGGAAACGAGACTTTGAATCATTAGGTAGGTTGGCAAAATTTACGCTGGATGTTTTTGGATCTTCAATAAACAAAAACAATTATATTGTGTAGTTTTATTCATGTGTGGGCTTAAATTGACACAGATGTGCTTGCTTGTGATGCTTATAGGTTTTCATGTTGGTGGATTTTTAGGAAAACTTATTGTTGAAATGAGGTTAGTCTTGGATTGGGTTGAAAGCTTTAAGTAAGCTCAATACCTCACAAAGATGCTCACAGAGTGCATAACCTTTGAAATATTAGCCCATTCCTGTTTATTATCAGTTATTTCATGTCCCCCCTGAAATATGAACCAACCCCAATTATCAGTCACTTTACCACTCCTAAAATGTGAGCCAGTGACCAACACTCCTGAAATATCAGCCAATACCTGTTGATTATAAGTCATTTCACCCTTCCCCCTAAAAATGTAAACCAATACACCCCCTGAAATATCCCTCAATTAATACACCCCCTCTCCATAGCCCTTCCCCCCATAAACATGAACAAATGTACCCCGTCACTAGTGCCCCTCCCCCTGAAATATCAACCAGTACATCCCTTGTACCCCACCTACCACCACCTTCACTAGACCAGACACTTATCAAAGATTTTATCATTGCAGTCTTATAGGTTATTTAGTGGGTACAGCAATAGCTTGGTTTGTTATCATTGGTGATGTTTCACCAGCAGTTGTGTCCAGCATATTTGGCATAGAAGTAAGATCATAATCTGCAATAATCATAATCATAATAATAATCTGCAATAATAATAATAATAATCATAATCATAATCTGCAATATATGGGCAGTCCATGCCTAGTTTATATTAACTTTGGAAAGTGTAAAGATGGTTTGTAACTCATTGATAGTGTGTTGTAATTTCGTATTGTAGCTTTGTTAAAGCTTGTAACCCTGTCTCTATTGTTTCACAATGTCAATGTAATGTGTAGGACCGTAGGTAGGACCTAATTTGAGACTCCTCAGTCATGTCTCCCCAGTCTTCAATCGTTTTGTTGATTGTAAAGTTTATAAATTAAATGAATTATTTCTGGTAAAACTCTTGAAAAAACGTTAATATATGATGATAGTCAAATTTGGTGGATTTTGTTATTGGTGGATTGAGTCAACAGATGGTGGTTATAAATCTTAGCTGCAAGAACTCAATCTGCTTACAGATAGCGCTTTGTCAAACCCAGTGATCTCATTATATCAACTGTATTTTCTCTAGAAAACATGGGGATTAAGATTATTTTTAATTGTGGCAATTGGCGTTTGCGTTGTGCTGCCTCTTTCATTGGTTAAAGACATTACAAGTTTGAGCAGTGCAAGCAATGTGGCTATTGGGATATATAGTATATTCGTTTTACAGGTAATGGGCTTTATTATCAAAGATCAGAGTTCTGGCAAGATGTATAAACCGGATACTTGGGCAATATTATTAATAAGTAGTAGTTAAAATACGAGCAGCCGATCTTTATGCCGAAGCGAGAGTTTGGATATCAGATAAAGATCGGATGCGAATGTATATCAGATAAAGATCGGTGCTTAAATAAAATGACCCATCTTATGAGTTCATTGGCGAAGTAATTTTAAAAATAGGCGTTGTCTAAGCCGAGAAAATCAAAGCTGAAGTTTATGTAAATCAAGACAAATCTTTATCCGATTTACAAACATTTATTAAACATTAATTTCTTTTGTATTTTCTTCATGAATTATTAATGAGATTTTTAAATCATGGTAAATACGATCTTGCTATAAAAATTGCACGCTTTTTTCTCTTCAGCTATTGTTTAGCACTTTACCACGAATTTTATCAGGTGATTGGCTTGATGGTGCCAATTTCTGGAAACCTGACGGAGTTTTGCAATGTTTACCAATCTTTGGCATCTCATTTCTTTGTCAAACGTAAGTTGGAACCATTGATTTATCAGATATAAGACACTCATCTGTCGACAGCCTGGTGTTTTAAACAGTACATAAATCATATATTATATTTTTATACAGTGTTATTTTTGTACTTTACGATGCGTTGCCTGAGCCTTCTGTCAAGAAGATGGAACACGTGGTTGATACCGCGATGGATATTGTACTTTTACTTTCTTTTACTGTAAGTTGAAAAACAAGCATTTATATTTTGCTTTTCATCAATTTAATTTTTTATCTTGTTTTTCTAAAGGTTGGGTTTTCTGGTTACGTGAGATATTTCGATGACGGAGTTCAAGGAGATCTGTTGAATAATTATAAGCACGACTTTATATCTGAATTTATTCGCTTAGGTATGAAGAAACATGTTTAACTATTCTGTTGTATACGGATGTCACCAGCACCAGCACTGATTGTTAAACATGAATAAAAACAACAGCAGCAACAACGGCAGCAGCAGGAACAACAATAGCAGGAACAACAATAGCAGGGGCAACAATAGCAGGAACAACAACAGCAACAACAATAACAGCAACAACAACAACAACAACAACAACTGGGACATTTAATAACTACGCATTTCGTTTAGGATTTTGTATTTCTACGATATTGAGTTTTCCGTTGTTGGTGTTTCCATGTCGATCTAGCATTAATTCTTTGATTTCTTCAGCAAGGGTAGGTAATGCGATAAATTTGCAGTTATAATACATTGTGAGGAGTACGTTATCAGAACTGAGAGCCCTGTTTATGGTTTTACTTTTCAGCTTGATGTAACACCTACTGGAGGAACCTACATTCCACACGATCGATTCTTTGTGATCACATGTTTACTCGTCATTGGCACGGTCATTTGTGGAGTTCTCTTTCCAAGTGGTACGCCCTCATTTATGCTGGATTAGGATTAGAATTGATTAGCTTAGGATTAGAATTAATTATGTACGATTAGAGTTAATTAGGGTAGGATCAGAACTAATTAGGTTAGGATTAGAATTGATTAGGGTAGGATTAGAATTAATTATGGTACGATTAGAATTAATTAGGGTAGGATTAGAACTAATTAGGTTAGGATTAGAATTGATTAGGTTAGGATTAGAATTGATTGGGTTAGGATTAGAATTGATTAGAATAGGATTACAATTAATTAGGGTAGGATTAGGATGAGAGCTGCAATTAAGAATATGACTGGGATTAGTTGAGTTTAGAATTGCAAAAATTCAGAATGGTTGAAGGGTAGGGAATCGCTGTGTTTAAATGTAGATGTAGTATCAAAATTGACCCGTTCTGTTTTAATTCCAGTTGAGTTTGTGATGGCTTTAGTCGGAGCAACCATGGGTGCAATGTTGACATTTATTCTCCCATCCTATATATTTCTTATCGTGTCTGGAGAGGACCACTCGAAAGCAGTCGCGAAGGTTTCAAATATTTCTTTATTTTTTATTCAACCTAGCATGTCATAAAGTTCCTTGTAGAAATAAACCCGTTGTATAAGGTGATAAAATTGTCTTTTCTTGTTTTACCAGGTTTTATTTGTGACTGGCATTTGTCTCTTATGCCTGAGTACATTCTCCGTTCTCAGCATCAGTGAAAGTCAAATGAAGGAAGCAGAAATGTCGCCTGTTATACAACCTCCAGTGCTTAACCCTCCAACACTCAAACCTAACACTACCTTCGTGAAATCTTCTGAACAAGTGAAAAAAGTTGAGGTGTGTACGTGTGTATATAATTAGTTACCTTGGTTACCTTTGTTCTATTAGCCATTTCCCAAAGTCCTGGGAAATATGGCAGCACACATTTAAATTAAGAGGCTTTTTTTTTAATGTCACGTATTTGCAATGAAAAGTGTTCAAAACCTAAAATCTTTTTGGCGTCGCTTTCAAAATTACTTTGTTTTAGCTTTATTCTCTAGTCTATACAGTTAGCAACCTTTTTAAATGCATCTGCCGGTTGAGAAACATAAAATAATAGTCAAAAATTGTCAATTAAAATATATTATCAATGATGCTTTAAAATTGACGCCATGTTTTATACAGCCATATAAGCTAAACTTACTGAACTTCGGACATCATTTTCTCTTTGGCGTACCATCTAAAATCTTTTCATTTTAGTATTATTTTACAGATAAAGCACCAAACATACTTTTTAAATTTGTTTGCCGATTGAGAAACGTATTGAAAAATAAAAATTTTGAATTTAGTCATGACCTCAAGTGGAATATTATACGCATTAGTTTTGAGCGGATGTTACGTAACATACAAAAAAATCTCCTCTTAAATGTTTAATGTAAAAAGGAGATATTTCATTTTTGGTCGTCTAAAAAGTTGATATTTGATAGTAGATACTTCTACTCTTTCACATATTTGGCGCCTGTCACCATATATTTTGTCCCTCTAAACGATCCCAGCATGCACTATGATCTCTTTTGGGAAAAGGCTAATCATATGCTCGTGTATACTAGAACAATAGTAACTACTAACTAGGCATGTTAGTCTATTGATATTCAATGGTCAATAGTCAAATTTCTCTCAGTATTGATGGTAATCGTTTTCTCCTTAAGGTATTGCTTAATAAAAATGAGAAATCAAATAAGAGCACGCTTCAAGGAGGAGAAGTCCACGATGAGATGAAGAGGAATATAATTGATGAGCAAAAGGTTCTAGTCCCTCAAAGAAACACGGCAGAAGTTGTGGAAGACTCAAGAAAAGAGCCAGTATTACCTCGAGAAGGCATTGTCAGACAACTGCCTGTTGACGGGCGGAAACCCGCAGAGGACCAGGATACAAGACTTGCAGAGAAGAGATTCATACAGCAACCTGACACAAACCTCGACTCCAAGAAGAAGGACGATTCGGAAGAGAAAGATCCTACCTTGAACGATGAAGTGCGCATTGCTGGAGAAAGAAAAATATTGAATAATGGTGAAGACGTACCTTCTCATGTAAAACCCATCACAGTTCAACAAAACAAGCCTAGGACCAATACGAGTTTAACTGATGAAAGGACATTTGTGGTTGATAAGGAGCGATCTGTAGAACAAAATCTAGGGTCAGAAAATGTCGTTATAAATAAAACAATTGCTGATGTAAACACGGATTATTTAGAAACAGTTGGGAGAGAAACAAAACAAGATGAAATGAAAGATCAAAATACTCTTACTAATAACAGTGAAGCAAGAATGGACAGTATTAAATCGTTACGGAAATTTCAACCGCCTTTATTATTAAGAAAACAGCTTCAGCAATCTAGGATAAAACTAATAGAGCGAAGTCGTCGAAAAACATCGTCAGATGACGAGGATTTTTAAAAATACGTAAAAATAGAATGTACATTTTGTGTACATTGGGATTAAGCCAAGGAGGGAAAGAATATTTCTCAGGCTAACATTATGCTTGGCCTTGGGGTTGTCTAAATACACGTCCAATCCAAAGTGGATGACAATGTCTGCCTTTAAGCAAATGTGGGGTAAGATGGAGAAAGGACAAAGTGTTGTGTGGAATTTTCTCCACCGAAAACCAATTACATACATGTAGAACTGTTTTTGAAACATTTGCGATCGGTTTTTCCTCATGATCTAGGACATGGGCTAGAGCCTGCTCGTAGGCTGGGCATGGGTATATTTATTAGCATCGACAAATAGTCTATAACATTCCAAGAATTACTGAACTGAGTTAGGCCCCGTTTACATGAGACCAGGACGAAGTCAAACCGGAATGAAAATTTAAATTGTCAACATGTTTACATGAGACCGGTACGAAAATCACAAAATTTTCAATTTATTCCCCTTTGCCTGGCAATTTTCTTTTTTAGATGGCTTTTGTTAGCATGTGTTGTTCCAATGTCAAGATTACAGTCGAGACCGGTCTGAAATGTATTTGTGTTTACATTCATCCCAGTCTAAATTCATGCCGGTCTGAAGTCAGTCGGTTCGGTCCAGCAGGCGGAATGACTTGAGACCGGTCTGAGTTATTTTCGTCCTGGTCTCATGTAAACATCTATTATAATTTATAACTAATACTATAACCGAAACGAAATGGTCCCGGTTTGACTTCGTTCTGGTCTCATGTAAACGGGGCCTTAAACTGACTATCGCAGGGTGACCCCAAACAGCGATTAGCGAATATAATTATATCTTTTGGTCTTAACAAAAAATTTGCGTACCAGTAAT